CGTTCCACTTGTAAATTATTTTCCTAACACAGAATTTGATTACGTTCCACTTGTAAATTATTTTCCTAACACAGAATTTGATTACGTTCGGCTTGTAAATTATTTGCCTGACACAGAATTTGATTGCGTTCCTCTTGTAAATTATTTGCCTGACACAGGATTTGATTACGTTCCGCTTGTAAATTATTTGCCTAACACAGGATTTGATTGCGTTCCGCTTGTAAATTATTTGCCTAACACAGGATTTGAGTGCGTTCCGCTTGTAAATTATTTGCCTAACACAGAATTTGATTGCGTTCCTCTTGTAAATTATTTGCCTAACACTAAACTGTTTTTATTTTTGTGTAGCTCTTTAAAGTACTTTGTTCGATTTATTTTCTTTGTTTCCCGGTGGGTCAGCGACAAGATTACGAGCTTACTACGTTAAAATCTCGGGTTAGATTCCCCACGGTAAGCAGAGTGCTAAAACAACAACAATAACGTTTTCAATGTTTCCATCTATATTTTTTATAAACATTTAAAATTTGAATAATTCTTACTTCCGCAAACTAAGTTGCTACGTTTTAAGAAACAACAATTTTACTCCCTTTTTTGCTAAGACTCAGAAAAGGAAGTTTATTTTTTCCATAGTATAGAAGCCTGGCGTGGCCTGTGGTTAGTGTGCCCCGACGGTGAATCCGATAATTCATGGTTCGCGTCACTTTCCCACGAAATGGTAATCCACTCTTAGAGGGGTCATGGGTGTGCCGTTGATTAGCTGCTTTCCGTTTAGTTTATTAGTTCAATATTAGGGTCGATTATATGTAGATACCCCTTTACGTTGCTTTGCGCGTTATCCCCCCCAAAAAAACAACAACAACAAATAAACAAACAATCTATAAACAACACAGTTTAACGTTCTTATAAACTTAACATTAATAACGTGGGTTATTCAATCATTGTCATGGTAACTAGCCTATTTGGTCACCTAAGCCTAATACTTAATTAGGAATTATTATTTTCTTACAGCTGTACGCTAATCCCGGACACAACAGATACAGAAAATAGCTCTTCACAAAGCTTGTTGAAGGTGGCAGCACCTTAGCAGCCGAGAAACGTATAATATAAACTAGTTAATTATTACTAGCTAGTTGTAAAAAATTAAAAACGTATAATTAGGCTTAGGTGATCATATAGGCTACTAACCATGACAACGAAATGATCGCTAGGTCATTAAGTTTCGTTTACTTGTCTTCTAAGCATTGATGAACCAGAATATTGTCATATCTTTCTTTTTGTATATTTTATGTCTATATAATTGTTTTTTATTGTTATTTACTGTGCTATTAATTGTTTTAAACTATTTACAGCGTCAAGACAAGGACGACCACTTCACCAGTTCTCATTTAACAGAACACCCTGGTGGTAAAGCCCTGAAAACACTAGCACGTTTGCCAAGTTTCCGTTTCCTGTTTCGAATTAGGAAAGATCACGTGAAACCACGTATAGATCTCTATAGGATTAGATCGTTCAAATCTAACACAAAAGAAGCATATTTCTCACTTAAATGACTTGAATTTTTTTTTTTTACTTCTCTGTTTAATATGAACCACTGTTTCTGTTGTTTAATTGTGCTCTTGTTACATCATGGGTAAACCGTGGCTGTGGTATATGCCGACCACGGCCACGTTATTGGATGAAATTACAGCCTCGTGGCATGGAGATGCTCCAATATCTGCTGATAACAATGTAAATGTATCCTTAAACTACTCAGTATGGCCGAATGCTACCGATTTTGAGGTCGTTGAACTCCATTATCCTGCCCTGGCCGTGGTCCTTGCCATCTTCTGCGTAGCTACTATTTTCGGGAACGTCTTGGTAATGGTAGCAGTTGCTAAGCAACGATACCTCCACACCGTCACTAACTACTTTATTGCTTCGCTGGCCACGGCCGATTGCTTAGTAGGTGCTGTAGTCATGCCTTTCAGTGCAGTCCACGAAGTCATGAACAAATACTGGGTGTTTGGTCAAGCCTGGTGTGACGTATGGCATTCTTTTGACGTATTGGCCAGCACAGCGTCCATTCTTAACCTCTGCGTTATCTCTCTTGACCGCTACTGGGCCATCACTGACCCTATCAGCTACCCCCGAAAGATGACCCCAGCCAAGGCAGGGGTGCTGATCGCCCTTGTGTGGGTGTGCTCGGCCCTGATCTCTTTCCCTGCTATTGCCTGGTGGCGTGCCGCCATGACAGCTCCTCCACCCCTCTATCAGTGTCTTTTCACAGATGACGTAGGATACCTGGTTTTTTCGTCTACCATCTCTTTCTACCTGCCTCTTACCGTTATGGTGTTTACTTATTGCCGTATCTATCGTGCAGCTATGGAGCAAAAACGCAGTCTCAAAATGGGTTCGAAGCTCGTGCAAACGTGTAACGGAGAGCACACGACGGCTCTGACCCTCCGAATCCACAGGGGTGGGATGTTCGAACCTAGAACCTACAAGGCAAGATACTCCAGCGGCTCAGCCTCCATGAGCTTTAACGGAGAGTGCTCAGAGAGGACTTCTTTAAGAGTTTCAGCACGTCAGGCTAAAAGTTTCTCCATTAGTAGGAAACTTGCGAAACTTGCCAAAGAACGAAAAGCGGCCAAAACGTTGGCGATTGTGATGGGTGTGTTTATCTTGTGTTGGCTACCGTTCTTCGTCACGAACGTCATGATGGGGATATGCGGCGAGAGTTGTATCGTGAAGCCGGACCTGGTTTTCTCCACCGTTACTTGGTTGGGCTGGATTAATTCCGGAATGAACCCGGTGATCTATGCTTGCTGGAGTCGTGACTTTAGGCGAGCCTTCACCAAGCTTTTGTGTATCTGTTGTCCTCGGTACTTGAAACGCAGGGAACAGTACAGAACACGGTTCCGGAAAACTACCAGGGAAGAAGTCCACTCGTCTAGCTTTCGTTGTGGTCGTAACAGTGAAACTTCCGATGTAACGGTCTTATAATCTCTCGAAATGCAGCTGGATATAATCTGTAAACTGGCCATCTGACATTTTATGTTGAACCCAATGAATAAAATGTATCGCCAACGTACTTAAGACCAAGGTAAAGGATAATCTCTTACTCGTGGATCAAGGTAATTACTGAAATTAGGACTCAAATCAGTTTGTGGTCAGTTGCATTGCACCTGACCTGACCTGACCCCTTGGACTGGTCTCAGTACGACTTCTAAGCCTCGTACAGTCGCATATCTCCAGTTTGTTTTCAGATTTATTCATGGATTAGACATCGTTTCGGCATGGGTCAAACATCGTTTCGACATGGGTCAAACATCGTTTCGGCATGGGTCAAACATCGTTTCGGCATGAACCAGACATAGTTTCGACATGAACCAGACATAGTTTCGGCATGAATCAGACATCGTTTCGGCATGGGTCAAACATCGTTTCGGCATGGGTCAAACATCGTTTCGGCATGAATCAGACATCGTTTCGGCATGGGTCAAACATCGTTTCGACATGGGTCAAACATCGTTTCGGCATGGGTCAAACATCGTTTCGGCATGAACCAGACATAGTTTCGACATGAATCAGACATCGTTTTGGAACTCGTATGTTTACGTGACGTCTAATTGTGAGTCAGCGTTTCCTCATATTGCTAAAGGTAATCTGAAACTGGGAAGCGTTCATCAACGCATGTGCGGATACATGTTAATATGGGAAGCGTTCATCAACGCATGTGCGATACATGTTAATAAACTAAATGGTTTGCGTGATGTCAATAACATTTTATCTTCTACAAACACAGAACTGGTGCATTTACAAAAAAAAAAAAAGGGGTGGAGGTTCTACCACGTGAGCATTTCTGTTAAAGTTTGTACATATAACTCTGAACGTTGGAATATTTATTGGAACGAGTGCACGTTATCTGTCGTTTATATTGTGGTTAGAAATTCTATTCTCAGTGCGTGATGACGTCACTTATAGTTGTAAAGTTTCTCAAATATTTAACTTAAATTCGTTCAAATATCCATTAAATTAAAATGCATTTCACGCATGAAGATTAGCTACTACTTTGTTTTCGACTTTCTTATCTGTCGGTGTGTGATATAAGTCCCTAGTAATTTTCCCACAGCTGGAATCTCTTTCAAACCAAATAGTTTGAGCATTTCATTCGAGTAGAATTATCCGTGATAATGATGGGCTAAGTTTAACCTGACCCCGAGGTGGTGTTGTATTATAAATCGCTATCTTTAATTGGACCATTATTTCGGATTTCTCAAGCTCTGTACACACCGAGTTCATTTATAATTACTCACTCCAAGGATTCTTACCTTTGAGAAATATGATTGTCATCTGGTCGTATATTGTTTTTGTCGTAGTGTAGAAATGTAAAATGTTATTATTTAAAATCTAGACATTAAGAATGACATTTTTTAAAGAGAAGAAAACTCGGTTATAATCAAACTTACTTCTTCAGAAGTGTTTGCAGACAGATATTTTATGGCTATGTTTGATGTTTTGACTTTTGAAATTTTGAGCTCGGGTGTATTGTAGTTCGTTAGAACTGAGAAAGTAGTGTCATCGAGTTATAAGATAACTAACAAACGAGATATCAGCAATTTTTGTCTAAATTACGAGCAAAAAAACAATACAAAAACAGCATAAAAAAGTCTGCCTGCCATCTCTAATGAGTAAGAAAAAGTCTGCCTCCATCTCTAACGTGTAAGAAAAAGTCTGCCTCCATTTCTAACGAGTAAGAAAAAGTCTGCCTGCCATCTCTAACGTGTAAGAAAAAGTCTGCCTGCCATCTCTAACGAGTAAGAAAAAGTCTGCCTCCATCTCTAACGCGTAACATTCACTTTAACCCCTTTATGAAAATATTTCTGTTTCAAAATATAAAAAAACTCATTAAAATATGCTATCTGCCAGTCTCTGTTTGTCCATTTATCTTACTCGCGCGGTTTTAAAACGCCATGCTGTCTCAGTTGGTAGTTGATTAGCTGAAATTGACGACAGAATGTCAAAGTCTACATAGAGGAACTTATACTTCGTTTTCTCGTGTACGGTTGCCATCTCGAACGTGCACAACAGTGCTGTTACCTGGCGGTTGTGATTTCATGGGGTTAACATTTTTCCACGCCAAACTGCATGTTAACCGGTTTCGCACGTGCTATTCTATGACGTTTCAATATAGGATTAATCGTGCTATTTATAAGTAATACACACGGTAACTTCGTGGTCACTTATAAATCGTGTTTTCAAACTCTTATTTAACGTTTTCAAGTCGTACTCAGTATTTTATTTTTTTGCACAGTTTAAGAAAAAACAAAATTTGTTTTATTCAAAAGCAAAATGTTTCTAGATACAAATGCACGAAATAGTTGAAATTTACACCCAATATTTCAACTATATTCCTAATGGTGTAACTTTACACCCAATATTTCAACTATATTCCTTATGGTTTAACTTTACACCCAGTATTTCAACTATATTCCTAATGTTGTAACTTTACACCCAATAGTTCAACTATATTCCTAATGGTTTAACTTTACACCCAGTATTTCAACTATATTCCTAATGTTGTAACTTTACACCCAATAGTTCAACTATATTCCTAATGGTTTAACTTTACACCCAGTATTTCAACTATATTCCTAATGTTGTAACTTTACACCCAATAGTT